GCGTTTCGTTTCTGTATTTGTTGTGGGAGAAACAGAGAGGGAAAGAAACCACGAAATGTTCCGTTTAGAACGTAGATACCTTTTCCAGAGTTTCATTAATATCGGAGAAATATTGAATCGATGAAGAGAAAAGTTAGAAGTAGACGAGTACATGTATTCGAACGTTCCAAATTTCGCGTCAATATATCCTGGAAATATTTTTTAAAAATGTCAAACGGGGGGAGAGAGAGAGAGAGAGAGAGAGAGAGAAATCAATATATTCTAACGTCAAAAAATCAAATTACGCCGACGTAAATGAAAAACAAAAATCACCATATTCCGCACATTGAAAATATATCTTCGCACTTTTTCCCGAGGCGAAACGACAATAATAAATCTCATTTATTATGAAATAAATTTAATAAATAAATCAATATATGTTAAAATAAGTAAATAAATTTGAACGATAAAACATATTTTTCAAGATACCACGTATATTTTTATACATAGCCAATCTATTTTGGGCTGATGCAGGCCAACCTGTCCTGGTAGTAGGACAGGTTGGCCACGATGCAGCGTAATCCGTTATAAATTTCGGTTATTACAGAAAGAAATATACGGTTTATACGTATAGGATCATTCCTGACGTAAAAATATAGAGAAAGTTTGTCTCTATCGCCCTACCTTTGTATGTCAAAACCACGTGTAATAGTTAAATGTATGAAAAGTTCTAACACCGAGAAACTCCGGAAAATATGTCAACCTGTTCCCCCATATGACGCGCCCACCTTTTATACACCACCATTGCGTATTCTTTCTGCCACGTCGCTTTGCAGAACGCGGACAACTTTATAGAGACGCTTTAATTGCACAATAAAAGCGCTGATAGAGCGTAAACAGAATTTGCATTCGGTTTCGAGTCGTTGCTTTGCGCGCGATGGAAGATAAACGAACATTACACGCCCGGACTTTACATTGCGCTACGTAGGATAGCACGACGGTTTTATTGTAAAGCGAGGTAGAGGGATTAAGTGGTATTACTTTGCACTGTCCTTTGTAGGCGAGGACAATTTATGCGAGGCCGTTGCTCCGCATAAAGTAGACACGTTTCGGCGCGACGTTCCTCTTACTAATTTAATTGCTTTATGCCCACATAAGTGCCACAATTTGCAACGGATTCGCTCGGCTTTAAATCCCGATCGTTGCCGTAATGGCAATTGCTGTTTGCGCAACAAAACTTGCCCGATCTTGAAATCTTCATTCTTTCTACCGGATCTCTTTTCTCAGTGTACAACCAAGTTTCACTTTCGTTCACTTTCCAGTGTTGGTCAAATTTAGGAGTTCCAATCCCGACTTCAAACGATCGATCTGTCTTGAATTTCTTTAAATTTGTCTCGACTGTGGTTTAATAAAAATTGCCTAACTTCATTCTTTCTGTCGGATTTCTTTTTCCAGTGTACTACTGTGTTTCACTTTCATTTAAGTTTCAATTGGTTCCATTAATCTTCCCGGTTATTCACAAAGCAGCAACAACAAACGGAACAAGTTGTTTCGGAGTTCCAATTCTGACGTTAGATTATTAATCTGACTCGATGTTTGTCCAATTTGTCCCGATTGGAGTTTGTGCAGGCAAATTTGCATATTTCCGAGACTTGGTTCCATTTTACCTGATTTATTTTTCAGTACATTTTGTACACGGCACGACTATTCTCGTCGCGTGTTTCCCGAAGAAACGGCACCAGCCGTTATTATTCTATTTGTCATCGAGCGCGGCGAGCGAAAATACGAAAATGGAATATTTTAACACGCCAAAGATTTTCCATTAGACTCAACCAGCACTGACATCATACAATATTTACCGTCGGTGGCGGCGGATAATTCTATTTGTTTCAATTTATTCGGCCGTCGACGGTGTTTAGCGAGCAGAAATTTCGCGATATGTTTTACAAACGCGCCGAGTTACTCAGTGTTTATGTACATACGTCACTCCTCAAATATCCTCGTAAAATTCAGCCGGCGAAGTTCGCCGCTCCTCGGCGGCCGCGATATGTCTTACATCTTCGTCACATCGCGGCTGTAAAATTCATCCCCCAGGAGGAAAAGCCATTTTCCTTAAAGCATAGAGACCTCACGCTGTTGCCATTGCGACGAATTACAGCACGCGCGCTCGCGTACCTGCGTAACCAATTATATTAACGTCACGAGAATGACGTTGGAAATGTAGCACGCCGGGTCCCAAAGTGTATCATCTTGTCCGCGAAGTCGAGAAGCTCCCCATCGTCCGTGAAGACAAACATCCGTCGGCGTTTCGTTAGGGGATTATTTTCTCGATGTCTGCCTCGCGAGAGAAAAGGGAAGACAGCTCTCTTTCGGCAGATACGCGTCGCACCGGCGAAATCGTCGAAATCGTCGGGGTATTTTCCGTGAGGCGCGCGCGAAGAGATCGCGAAAGCATTTTTGCTCGTGTCTGTCACCGGGAGAATGTCAGATAAATCGATCAGCGAGTTTCATAAAACACGTTTCTCGCCCGCCTTCCATTTGGCCTCATAAAATTCACATAACCGAGTTACATTAGACGATACAGCCACCGCCAAGCCGCGAATTTAAATTCAATACGCGGAGCTTCTTCTCCCGCGAGGGGGGCGAGGCGCGCCAACTTTTCTCGTAAGTCAGTTTCTTCGTATCGTTCAGCGGGCCGGAGTATCATATTGAATCCTTCTTTATCTCGAAGCGCGTCTCTTCCGCAATCGCAATTATATAATGGCCGTGTGACACGTTACAGCGCATAATAATCCAGCTTTATTTTCCTCGAACCGAGGCAAAAGCTGCGCTCGCTTCGTAGAAGAGGAATAGACCCGTCTCGCTCCTCGGATTCGTATATATTTTTGCGTGCTCTAATACGAAGGTGCACTGCAGAAACTCAATAACAGTGAATATATCGAAATATCACACAGACACGAGCACCGTAATTGCCGTAACCATCGACGGAATATCCCGTCGTTATAAAAGCGCCTCAATTCCCGAATTTTTATACTCTCCGAGTAAATATTAATAAACAAAATATTAATAAAAAATAAAATAAAATATTAAACGAAAAGTCCTCCGGTCAAATGCAGCAATAATCAACTTTGCCGTGTCACGGCAAGAGAGTCTGTGCAAAGTACAAAGAGCTATGTGCCGTTTGCAGTGTCCATTGGTCGAATATCGAAGAATCGATTCCACAAGTAAAAGAGGGGGGGGGGGGGGGGCACCACATCCCGAAACTATCACGGCGGTCGAGTTACGCGCGGAATGTTACGGTGAAAAAAAGAATTGTGCAAATTCGTTCAAAAGTAAGTGCTAAAAGTAACGGGGATTCAATTTCCAATATTAAATCCCGCCATAGCGCCGATTGTCCTCCCCCTCCCCCCCC